TAGGGCGCCGGCGGGGGCGGCGGGCCCAGCCCTGGGCCCTGCGGCTGTGGGTTGGGGCCCCGCCGCGGCATCCCGCAGCTCCGGCCTCCGGGGGCATTCCCGGTAGGAGGCTGACGGGCTAGTGAAAGTTGAAGCCTGGGGCTAGGTACTCTCCTGAGCGTTCGTTTTTCTTTTGGTTTCTTCTAAGCGCTCCGCTCCCTTGTCGCGTCGCAAGGCCGGAGTGGCGAGGGATTGGTGCTCGTCGTGTCTCTGTACCGCGGTGAGGCGTAGGAGAGGGAGTAGGTGATGAGTAACTAATACGGCATCCGAAGGTTAGCTGCAACTGTGTGTGCTTCTCTCGGTTTTCAGAGATTCTCTCTTACAGAGAATGAGTGTTTGGATTAAATAGTTTTCTTGAGGCTTTTTATTCTATATTTACTGATTTCTTTCCTCCATATTTAATCACTGATGTCTGATATCTGAGGGGAGACTTCATCCTGATTCAGTCTGGATTTACTTATCTCTTTGCTGGACTGAGAAGCAAGTAATGTGCTCACTAAACTCAGTGATTGGTTAATTTCAAAACAAAATTAGTTTCTGTTTATAATTTACAGTCTGTTGATTGACTTATTTGGGGGTTTTGTGTTCCTTTAAAGTACAATAAAGAGTGCTTGAAGTTCGGTTTTGGTTTCTAACTAGCTTTATGTATACATAATTTTCTTTAAATGCTTTGCCATAGTTTTGTGAGGCGTGTTTTTCAAGTTATTACTTGCTTCCGTGGAACTACAGGGTAATACTGCAATAGTTAGCATCCAGTAGTTACACCAAAAAAAAAAAAAAAAAAAAGAATTACCTAAGTCAGACTATACACATAACGTAATATATATGTTAATTTGTGTTAGTGACTGAATTCATGGCTGCCATTTACAGAAGTGCGTATTTGTTGCTTCAGCCCTTGCTCTTACAGGGTCTCCCATAGTAATTTGATGACTTGATGGAAACCTAGTACATAGAAAGAAATAACACTAATTTTATCATCAAAATACAATCCAATAAATCTGACTTAGAGCCACTTGTCTCAGATTTTAAATGTTGTGGCTTCACGATACAAAGTGCTGTTTCAGTGTGAACTCTCTTAGCTGTTTCAAACCTCTTCAAGTAACTTTGAGAGGATCACTTCAAACACAAGTGCTGCATTACTATATGTATATACTATGTGGCATCATACCTCAGGAAGCTAGCTTGCAAGGATAACTAGGTCTGGGTAAACCTGTCTTGAGGAATTATAAGGGTTAGAGTCTTTAATTCGAGAGCTTGGAAGGAGGCACTGAGCCATACAAAATCATCAGTACAGAGCAAAGTATATTTAAAGCTTCTGTTTTAATGTCTTTACTCTTTCTGTCCCTCATAAACTGTTAACCTATGAAGACAATGCAGAGGGGGATTCAGAACTAATACACTTTATACAGTGAAAGACTCATTACAGGAAGATGTTAGTCAAAACACAATAGTCTTTCTATTCAGTAACAACTCTATTTTTTTAATGTTGAAATGTGGACTGACGTTTCAGAGTTTGTTGATTGATCCTTCTGGTGGTGGGATGAGATTTCCGTGAGAACTGAAGAAATCTGTATTGCCTGCTACAGTCGTAACCATTCAGGCGTGGGCTTGTTGCAGCTGGACCCATACATTCCAGAGCCTCCTAAATTGGTATAAGCTGCACTGTTGCACTTTTCTGCTCTTACACAGAGCAGTGATATGCCAGTGTTATGCCATCCCTAGTGCTAATGTGACTGCACTTTAAACTGAATCAGGTAATTAATCTGGCTGTGGGAGGGGGGGAAAAATACACCAATTCAGTTTCTTGATGATCTTCTCATCCACCAGTACTAGGGAAGGGTAGGAGCACTCAGCTGTCATGCAGGGGGAGTGTTCCTTGCGCTTAAACTGGCCACCATGGAGCTGCAACCTTTCATTGTTGAGTTTGTTGTATGCAATCTAGTGGTCATAGTCTACTACCAAAAGCCTTCCTTTGTCTTCCATGCATGCTCATCTGATGTTTTCTTTAACAACTGTGTAACCACATTGATTTGTATTTGTTGAATCCTAAAGAGCAACTAGAGGAATACATTTATCTTCTGCTATACTTAAGGGAGCAGTCCAGGAAGTGTTTTCTTTAAGAGTTCTTGGTGCTTTCCCAAGCACCGGTATGCCAGACAGAACTTTGCTGTTTGAAATAATCAGTCTTAAAGTGCATCCTTATATCTAGCTTTTCCTCCGCTTCTATTTACTGAACTAGTAAATGGCTATAAGGCAGACAGGCGTTTTCAAATTTTAGTTTTTAAATGCTGCTGTTATGGAATCTAATCTCAAAAAGCAGGAGGATATTTGAAAACTTTCTTCAGGAAAGAAGTTTTGTTTCTTTCCATCTCTTCACGTGTCTTAAAGATGGTTTTCCTTCTGGCTGTCAAATATTTTTTTCTTGAATCAAATGAGATTGCGGGGGGTAGTTTGTTTCACATCAGTAATGTTCAGGTAGTGGGTATCTGCTTCCTCTGTAATTCTGTACAGTGAAAAGTGTTGGTGGGGGAAATTGCCAATTTTGTAGTATTATATAAAATGAGAGCTTGTTTTTGAAGCACAGAGATGTTTGTGACTCTCATCTTCACAGAGTGGTAGATATTGAAACCAGAGAGTTGTGAGCACATGCATTAACTCTGTTTTGATGTTGATATTTCAATCTGTACATTAACAAGACTGCTTGATAAGATTAATATCATTTATGTTGTGGCGATGTTGTTGCTTGTATATACCTTCTGAACAAGGTGGAGGAAGATTGGGTTTTGGTTTGATAACTACAAAAATAAATTGGTCAGTATAGGAGAGGACACTTGATCTTCCAAGGAGGAAATCCAAGTGGTGACGTGGCTCCTATAAAACTCCCTTAAAATAAATTGGTAGTCAGGTTAGAATTGGATATGGTTACAAAAGATAGCATGTTTCTCCAGGAAGAAGATCTCTGAGGAAATGTGATCCCATACGAAGTGTTACAGTTCCTGAAGATGCAGACTGGCACTGCTGCGGAAGTGCTCAAGACAGATGTCTGTGCTTCATCATGTTAATTGACTGCATGTTAGGGTCTTTAGATGATGGATGGAGTCCCATCCCATAGGCAGGTTGTTCCACCTCTTTTTAGCTGGTTGTAGAGAGGACTTACACAACCAGTTTACCCTTGTAAACTGAGGTTATTCTGCAGAGGGTAATCATTTTGCTTTGGCCAGAGTCATCAGTTGCACTAACTTTCAGTGGTCTGTGCAGGATTAGAGGTGTGCAAGTTGCTTCAGGTGTTTAATATAAATTCTTAAACCAAAACAAGGCAGTTTGATGAAGACAAAAAGCAGCCAGTAAAGTTGTTGAGAGCAGGTACGTCTGTGGGTGAAAGTGCAGGTATTTTGGATGCCAGTAATCTGTTGAATTTGTAAATACTGGTGTTTATTTAACAAACCTTCTAAACAGTCAGTATATTCATGCTGTTCTCCAAGATTGATTTTACTTAATGTATGGAAAACATTAGTAATTGCAATAATTTGAAGTTGTGCCTCATGAATGCAAATAGTATGGAAATGTTGCAGTTGGGTAGTCAGTGAGAATGAGTGTATCCGTAGACAAAGTGAGTAGGTGCTGTTTTGTTTTGTTGGTATAATTTCTCTTCATTTTTACTTGGTGACTGTTCTGAAATGTGATAAGACTTGATGTGAACATTTTCAGTAAGTATTCACCTTATTACTTGAGCATGTGTTAAAAGTCCTAAATTCACTCAAAGAAAACAAATGAAAGGAATAAGTAAATTTGATAAGGTGTGATTTTGGTTTTTTTATTTTTATTTTACACTGAGAAAAATCTCTGCTAGGTAACCTGCTGGCAGCTCTAAAAATTGTTTCATTAACCTGTATCAAAATCATACAGGTTTTAAACACAGACTTCTAAATAAATTGAAAGATTGGCTAATACTAGTTTGCTTTGTTTTACAGGCTTTAGAAAGGATGCGTCCTTACCTGTGTGATAAAATCATAGCTGAGAGACATTTTGATTACCTACGTTCAAAGAAAATACTCACTAGAGAGGACACAGAAGAAATTTCTTCTCGATCTTCCAGTAGGAAAAAAACTGGGAAGTTATTGGACTACTTAGCAGAAAACCCAAAGGGACTAGATGCTTTGATTGAATCTATCAGACGAGAAAGAACACAAAACTTCCTCTTACAAAAGATAACTGACGTAGTGTTAAAAGTCAAAAATGAAAAACTTGAAGCTCTCAAAGGTGAGACGTTTATAATGACATTTTATAAGACATAAGTTTTATTTTGAGGATCTGCAAAATTAAACTCCAGCAGTTCTTTAAATCATGTTTCTTAGTACAGGTTTGGGGGTTTTTTTTTTACTTCCTCTAGTGTTTAGGACAGCATTCTTAGAAATATCACCAGTTTGGGTTTAAGATCCTAATGCATATATCCTGGCTTTGCCTTTTTACTGTCTGAACACATCAGAAATAACAAATTGCGAGAAGACCCTTTTGTACTGTTATGATGGATAAGTCTGTTTTCACATTTCAGTTTTGCTTTCTATGAGGTTCTAGTTCAGAAGTCGGAATAAGTGGTTATCTTCCATCTTGCATTTCTCTTGAAGCAATTTACTGCAGTGGCAGGATGCTCTGGTTTTGTTAAACTTTGCACCTCAGCAGAAGATAAACCAGCAAGTGCAACCTGAGGCAAATTTCTCTGTATGTGGTCAATGCCAAAACTTAAAATTAGACACTGTAAATGTATGCATATGTTGTTTCATACAGGCAGAGAGGTTTTGTTGACACACAAGGCTTGAAGTGACTATATATACTCCTATTTTAAGGCAGATAAAGAAAGTATAAGCCTTCTAAACCCAAACCCTTACTTCCCCTTCCACACCCACCAAAAGAGAAATAAAGAAGGAAGAAGTATATTTTAACACTAGAGATGAGAGGCCTGAAGTTTTCTCTGGCTTCAGGTAAAAGAGCCTTCAAATGTAGTCCACTTTAGAGTAGAACCATCTAGCTGAAGCTTTTAAAAGTTTGAAGAACACAGTAAGAAAAAATCTATCAAAAGATGGGTCAGAGGTCTAAAGTGACTTCTTAAAATGAATCTTAAATTATGGTGCATCTTTGTCAAATAGTAGCTGGTACAGAGAAATCATTCACGTCAGCCTAGATAGCCTGCATGTATTTTTTAATTTGTCATGAATATTGGAATGTCACAGGTAAGATGAAGAGGTTAGTTTGTTAAAAATACAGTTGATCTTTGACAATCTTACTGATGTTAAATCAGAGCACAGTTTAAAGACTGTGCCATATTGTAATTAAATCCAGTCTCTGTTTTTTGTCTTAGGTCTAAGCTGCAGCACCTGTATGACCTCACTGTATGGAGGAACAAATAATCTTTCCAGGTCATATTCTGATGAATCTAATTTTTTTGATAAAACAAAAGACAAAGAATCTACCCAGATACACCATCCAGAAGAAGATTATAGCACTGCCGCATTTATGTCTGCTGTCTCTCTTCATTCAATGAATTTGCCAATTGCAGAGATGGGAAATGCAGAGAGTGCTGTTCTCTCAGCCACCCTTCCAGGGCCTGGAGACCCCGGTGCACCCCCTCTCCCCCCAGAGCTCCAGTCAGAGCAGCAAGAACCGTGTACCAGTTCAAGTGACAATTGCTTTCTGCCTTTAAGATCGCGTTCTCTTCAACCACAGTGAACATAGTGACTTTTGTCTGTTCATCCAAATAGTACTGAAGTTTTGTGTGATGTCTTATAAAGGTTTAAAAAAGTTTTAAAACTGTTAATTAGCAAAATCAGGGGAAACTATGCTATTTACTGTTTCTAGGGAGTAGAGTTTTTTTGTAACTGAATGACTCTGGAGCTGCTTGGTTTTATGTTCTTTAGAGTGCTTTTTTCCAAAAGATCATGCTATTATACCAGCAAAGGTTTGTTTTTTAAACCAGTATATTTAAGATTTCACATTAAGCTGCAGATAATTAAGCTGCAGTTATAGACAAATTTTTTTTTTCTTCCTACAGAAACTACAAACATGCTTTTCTTAATGTTCTGGAATAGGTGAATTGGGAATGATGGTTAGGAGAAGTAGTGAGTATTGAAAAATAACTTTCTGAACTAAAAACATAGTCCTTACCAAAAAGCTTACTCATTTGCCAAATTAAATGTTTTTTCTGTAGGATGAATTTTGCCCTCTATGTATGTGTGTGCAGCTCCATTTAAAAAAAAAAAAAAATCCCAACCCTGAATTTGGCCAATCTGTAGCTATGCTTATTTGCAAGAAGTCTCTTAATTGTCTGAAATTTGTCCTACTAGTAAATCAGAAAGCACTCAGTATCGCAGTGATTTGAATTAGCTAATACACTTCCACAAGTCTTGGCATATTATTCTTGTATATTAGTTAGAGGTTTCTGATTTGTGATGCACTTTAAATATAAATTCTCCTTTGTACTGGAAAAGGAATGTAAACTGCTGTAACAGCATCATGTGGGCTGTAAGAAAATGTTACTGTATAATGCTATTCGGGAGCAAATCTTGTATGTTTTGTTACAGTAGGTAAGTAGAGGAAGAGTCCTGTAGCAAGAAGTATCCATACCTGAAGGACTTTTGGAAATGTTGCACTTCAGATACCTACTCTTCAAAGCAGATAGCACAGGTTTACATTTCAAACTTTCTCGAGTCAAATGCATTTTAAACTATTTCAACATGGGAAGGTTCTCATTTCTTGACACAATGTAACATGCTGTATTCCCTTATACTCTACTCTTGAGTTGCAATCTACTTCTTATGAAGTTGGCCTACAATCACTTTGAAATTACTAGGCAAAGACAAACTCTTACTTGGAAATGTGTACAGTTGTGTTCTGCAGTGCTACACTTGAAAGTGAGGGGATGCTTTCAGTATATCAAAGAGTAGGTTTGAATTTAAGGCTTTAAATTATTTTGGCTTTCATACAGTGCTGTAGCCATGTAAATCCATTGAAATTCAAACCCAGGTAATACTCAAACTCCTTTGGTGGAGACAGGCCATCTGCAGGACCTCAGTTACAGTCTCTAAATGTTTTTTCATGTTTACTCTGGTTTTTGGAAGTTGGTTAAAATAAATGGCAATGTTCAACTACACTCCATACTTTAGTATATAAATAACTTACATTTGATAAAGATGTGGGCTTCTGTTTAGTGTTTATAAAAATCCTTGTTTTCTTGTATGCATCTAAGGTCATAGACTGTCAGGACAGTAAAAATGCTTTTCAACAAAACTGCTTGGTTCAGAAAGCACTCTTGAAGTTAAGTGCCTAAAAATGCAAACAAAATTTTGCTCTCTAACATGAAATTAAGGGTAGGCTTAAATCCCTCTCTTCCATTAACTTGAACTGTAGTTGTACATACTCAGGATGTCTGAAAGTTGATTTGTCTAAATGCCCACTGTAACCACCTAGAGCTGTGCTTGGGTTCGAGTCCCTTCTTGGGCTCCTGGAGGGGATTGAGCAAGCTTGGCCGTAACTCAAAAAGAGCATCAGCTCAGGGTGAAGACTGCCTTGCAGATCTAAATCTCAGCCCATGAGGTGTGCTGCCTCCCCTGTGCCACGAAACCTGCCTCTGCAGGGATTGCTCCTGCAGTGGAGCCTATCAACCTGAGACTTAAATGAATGTATTATCTTACTAGATGTTTATAGCATACATTTTTTTAGAAGTCTGAAATGTTTATCACTTTTGGAATAAAGTTTTTGTATAATTGCCTCTTTTTCTGTCTGCCTCTCATTATTAAAATGCATAGGTTGTAAGAGCAGTTCATGCCAGTAACTGGATGTGTGGGTTTGGTTTTGTGTGTGCGGGAGGCTTTCGTTCTCATTGTCTTGTAAGAGAGGTTTGCCTTTGGTGGAAAGACTGACTTGCTGTGAAGCACCTGTGCCTGCAGGACTGCATTCAAGAGCAGTGCAGAGGGAGAACGTGCATGTGACATTAAGACCTCAGCTGCTTAAGTGCACACGAACACTAAGGAAAACGTGTTTTCTCTCTACTTAGGCCTGCAGGTGTAAAAAAGGAGAAATGGAGGTTGTCTCGGTTTCACGTCTGATTTTTCTGTGTCTGCCTCTGCTCTCTTACAGGGGAAAAAATCCCCGAGTCCTGGGGGCGAGCCCTGCCCCGGCCCCGGGCGGCCGCC